ACGATCCTATAAACCACATTATTCCTATCAGAATAGTGGTTAAAAATATATTAGTAAAACTAAATAGCTAGTAATTTTATAAACATTTTATTTAAACATAGTTAAAAATCATTATTTGAATTAACTCATCATAATATAATGCATTAAGTTTAGTATTATTATTCAAAAGGGTATATCGAGTTATTGTTATTTGAAAATAAATTTATTTCTCTACATTGCATTAACTTAATGATTTAAAAATTAGGTATCCAGTAATTGCACATCATGGACAAACTAATATTTATTTGTTTCGGAATGCAGGATGTTTTCATAAAGAATTGCTTACTTTATAAAGTTTGTAGTAAATTTCAAAATATGCAATAGAGATTATTACAAATATGATTTATGACAATTATTGTAGTTGTATACATGTGGTGTTTTACATTTAAATATTTTAAAATTTGTTATATAATATATTTTAGTGAATTATAATTCATACAATATATAAAGTATTTGTTGATTTGCTAATGTTTTGCACTCTACCAAAGTCGGCATTTCATATGAAATCTGTTTGTGTCCTAAGTGCGGGTCTAATGTATGCCATTTATGGCTATATTTGGCTAAATGTGTGTTTCATTTAACAGTGAAATTGAGATTAAATATAAAAATAGATAATAATTGATAATTGAAATAAACATTGAAATCAATAATAGAGAATTTAAGTAATTCTCTTGAATTACTTTATAAATATTTATTATAATTATTTATTCTCATACAAATTGAAAACATTGTATTAAAACTATCAGTATTTAAAAATTAATAAAACTGTTTATTTAAATAAGAATTAGATTTATAGCTCTAATAAAATATTACAATTATAAGTTATCATAATTATAATTTGTAAAATGAATGATCTAATTAAACACCATTGGCAATTGTGTGGCATTTTATTAATTATTTTTATTATCTATTGGTAATTATTAAAAACATCTTATGCAACAAAATTTAAAATATGTTCTTGTTAAAAACTAGCTTTAATAAATATCATACTAAACATTACAATATTTTCCAACAAATACAAAGTTAATTATAAAACATTTAACAAAAAATAATCTATTTGTTTATAAAAGATAAAAACCAATAATTATAACTATTGATCTAATCATTTAACTAAGTTGCATATAAAATGTTTACCAACAATAATTGATGTTGTATTTTGTAGGTATTCTACAAGAAATTTTAATTATTTTGTAAAATTGGGAGTAAAGGGTCCTAGACCAATGCCAATATTTGGCAATCTATTGGAGCGTTTGTTTACATCACTACCAGAATTGGACATTAAATGGCAACAAAAATATGGCAAAATTTACGGGTAAAAAATGAGTTATTAATAAATTATCAAAAATAACTTTTATGCCAAATACAGGATATTTGAAGGCAACGAACCAATACTACAAGTGGCGGATCCGGAACTCATAAAACATATTTTGGTCAAAGATTTTAATGTGTTTGCGGACCGACACTCAGCGTCCAGAAGCCATAAACACCCGATCGCTGGCAAAATATTGACTGAACTTCGGGGCGACGACTGGAAGAGAGTCCGATCCATAGCCAGCCCTGTATTCACTTCCGGAAAAATGAGGAAAATGTATCCAATGGTCAGACGGTCTGTGGAGGGGTTTCTAAACACTTTGGACACGTATGCGAAAGACATGCGAGTGATTAACGCTAAGGATATGTTTGATTGCTATACAATGGATGTGATCTCTAACTGCGCTTTCGCTATAAAAAGCGATGCTTTCAAAGACCCAAACAATCCGTTTGTAGTAAACGGTAGAGTAATCGCTGAAATTCCTGTTTGGAAAATATTGTTACCGGAGTTTGCGTTAAATATGTTTAATATAACGACATTTTTAAATGAAAAATCTGTGGATTTTTCTCTGCAATTGTTAGACAAATATTGAAAGTAAGAAAGGATTCAAATATAAAATCAAATGATTTCATTGATCTCATGATGAGTGCAATGGAAGGAAAAGATGGACAAAATGAGGCAAATATAAAGGTTATAAACATTTAAAAGAATATTAATTACATACATTTACTTTTATATTAAACATATTATATATTATTATATCAATATAACTAAAAATTTTATTATTTATTTTTTAGATCAAAATGAATTAACCACCAAAAAGAAAAAACTTGATATAAAAGCACCAAATAAAGTCATAACAGAGAATGAAATGATAGCGCAGGGATTTTTTGTTTTTGCCGCTGAAAATGTTACGACAGCTACTGTTTTATCCTTCTGTTCCTATGAATTGGCACTCAATCCAGACGTTCAGCAAAAACTATACGAAGAAGTGATGTCTTCGTTGGACACAAACGGAGAGATTGATTACGAAGTGTTGATAAAACTGCCGTTTTTGGATGCAGTCATCGCTGAGACTCTTAGACTTCACACTCCAACCATCAAAATAGGAAGAATTGCTGCACAAGACTACCGGTTGGGAAACACCGGGATTACTGTATATAAGGGACAAATAGTAGAAATACCGGTCTATGCCATCCATCACTCGGAGGAATACTATACAAACCCCGAAAAGTTTATTTCCGACCGCTTTCTACCCGAAAATCGTCACAAAATAATTCCCTACACTTATCTGCCTTTCAGTTCCGGTCCTCGAAAATGCATTGGAATGAGGTTTGCATTAATGGAAGCGAAGTTAAGTTTGGCTCATATTATACGGAGGTTTTAGTTTACCCGAAGTCCGCAAACAGAAGTTCCCTTAACTCTCGTTAAAAACTTTCCTATAAAATGTGCAAAATCTCTAATCGTTGGCATTAAAAATAGAGCTTATACCGTATATACTCTCATAAGAACACCGGTAATATTATGTGAAATCCAGTGAAAATGCTATTTTTCAAAACAAGGGTAATGTTACCTAGATAAGATTACCCCCCATTACTAAAACTCACATACAGTTACCGGTAATACTATGTGAAATTTAATTCAAACGTATTTTATTCATTCAAATAGCAAATCATTTATAGAATTCAAATAATATATTTAAGAAATATGTATATCAAAGAAATTATCGGCGAAATCAATCACTTCTTGCGATTCTTCGGTATCAATCAAATTATCACTCATGTTTTCATTTGAAGACAAACTAACACTTTGAGACATTTAGTAATTGTTATTGAATGACAGGAAATGGATATAATTTAACGTTTTTTAATCGTTAACTAAACTTTATATTTAAACTTTTGTTCAGTATATCGTATTTGACTCATATATGCAATAAAGTACAATAGTATGAGTTTTTAGTGAAATGCAAATTATTGCTCCTAAATATGGGGTAATGCTACCTGGATAAGATTACCCCCCTTTACTGGATTTCACATAATATTACCGGGTGTTCTTATGAGAGTATATACGGTAAATAAATATTTAAATAATCTTATTTATTATTACTTTTGTTGGAAACTTATGTTGACGAGGTTAATTAAGTAAATTTTAAAAAATATTTGTTAAATTATTACTATTTATCTAAATGTTTTGATTGAATTAAATATATAAAACATTTATGTTTGATTAGAAAACATGTCAACATATTACTCGTTTAATGAAAATTAAAATATTAATAATTAAATAACAAATTGTCTTTAGTCCTTACATTTACATTCAACTTATTTTAAACATCTGTGATTTCATAAAATTCTAATAAAATATCAACTAGTTGATTATTATTTTAAGTGTTTATCGATCATTTAATTTGTAACCTCAAGAAATATGTTGAACTATTTAGTAAATAATTGGCAATTGTATTGTATATTATCAGCGATTCTATTCATTTACTGGTAATTTATTTCGATTTCAATATTTAATATAGATTTTAATAAAATACGGTTAAAATAAAATTTAGGTATTTCACCAGAAATTTCAGCCATTTTACCAAGTTAGGTATAAGAGGACCTAGACCATTGGTATTCGTTGGCAATCTATGGGAACAACTATTCGCACCCATACCACACATTGAGCATAAATGGCTTACAACCTATGGTAAAATCTATGGGTAAATGAATAATAAAAAATTATTAAATTGTAATACAAATTGTAATATAAATTGTAAAATATCGTTTCTATAACCAAAAATACAGTATATTTGAGGGAAACAAACCGTTATTACAAGTGGCGGAACCGGAACTTTTAAAACATATCTTGGTTAAAGATTTTCCGGTATTTGCCGACCGAAAAGCGGGAACGGGAAACACAAAGCACCCGATCGTAAGCCTATTCTTAACCTCAGTTCAGGGCCGAGACTGGAAGAGAATCCGATCGATAATAAGCCCGGCGTTCAGCGCCAGCAAAATGAAAATAATGTATCTATTGGTCAGACAGTCGGTGGAGGGCTTTATCAACACTTTGGACACGTATGCGAAAGACAAGCGAGAGATTAACGCACTGGACATGTATGGCTGTCTAACTATGGATGTGATCTCAAACTGCGCTTTCGCTACAAAAACCGATGCTTTCAAAGACCCAAACGATGAGTTTGTTGTTAGCGGCAGAGATGTGCTCAAAATCTCAGCTTTTAAAATATTATTATCGGTCTTATTACCAAATTTTATACTAAATATATTGGGAATCAAATCGATTTTAAATGAAAACTCTTTCCAATTTTTTGCTCATATCGTTCGCCATATTTTGAAAGACAGGCAAAAATCGGAAATAAAATCCAATAATTTTATTAACCTTTTAATGAATGCCAGAAAAGAAAAAACTGTAGATAAGGATGAGAGCGATACATATGAAGCCCATCACATCAATGAAGGTTTTGCTTTCTATAAAACTTATAATAATTATAATTAATTATTAAATGTTTATAAATTTAATCATATTTTAGGAGAAGAGGAGTTGAGGATAGAGAAGAAAGTACTGGATATAAAGGTTTCAAATAAGTCGTTAACTGAGAATGAGATCATAGCGCAGGGAATCCTCTTCTTTGCGACCGGATATTTGACAACAGCCACTACTCTAGCCTTTTGTTCCTATGAATTGGCACTCAATCCAGACGTTCAGCAAAAACTATACGAAGAAGTGATGTCTTCAATGGACACAAACGGAGAGATTGATTACGAAGTGTTGATAAAACTCCCGTTTTTGGATGCAGTCATCGCTGAGACTCTTAGACTCCATCCGCCGTCCGTAAAAATCTCGAGGATTGCGACCAAAGACTACCGGTTGGGAAACACTGGGATATTCCTACATAAAGGAGATGTCGTGGAAATACCGATCCATGCCATCCATCACTCGGAGGACTACTATCCAAACCCCGAAATGTTTATTCCCGACCGCTTTTTACCCGAAAACCGTCACAAAATAATTCCCTACACTTATCTGCCCTTCGGTTCCGGTCCTCGAAATTGCATTGGAATGAGGTTTGCATTAATGGAATTGAAGTTAAGTTTGGCTCATATTATACGGAGATTTATGTTTACCCGAAGTCCGCAAACAGAAGTTCCCTTAACTTTAAACAAATATAGTCGTTTGAATGCTTCAAAATCTATTATTGTTGGCATTGAAACCAGGAATTGATAAATTAAGTGATATTTTTATTGCTTTAATAATTTAATTTCTATAAATATCATTAGCAATATAATAAAACATAGACTATTGTAAAGACTTTATATTAATTTGCAATATAATTTTAAGCATACAATGTAAATTATCTTATTAAAAACAACTCTTTTAAATGACATTTACTGTACAATGTCTATTAAATTATATAATAAAATAATAATAAAATAAACATACGAAAGGTCTATAACAAAATTTAAATGTTTTTTAATCATACATGATTCAGTCATTGTCTTAATATTAAATATGATAAAAAATAAAGTAAAGTAGTCTATTACTTTATCTAAAGTAGATATTAAGTATCTATTAAGCAAGGTACTTGGGGTTTTTATTTAAATTAACAATCGTATTATTTTAAAAGTATTTGACTTATTAATTTATCATATTATTTAAATGTAATTGCATTTAGGCTTTTTCTAATAGACATTATATCATAAGATTATCTCATAATATATACTGTAATGTAAAGTACTGTATATAGCACTAGACAATTATACAGTATTTTATAATATATCTAATCTCAAACACATAATTAATTTTCCCACAATTTTTAGAGATAAGTGAAACTAAAATGACATTCAAATAATTAAGTAATACAGTAAATAAGGCATTGAAATAAATTTTTATTTATAGCACATATAAAATACAATTAAACTACATTATGCAATATTATTGCACAATACAAATCAAACATGTAATTTAAAATTTGGCCAACTGTTGGGGCTGTTGTTGGCTACTGTTGTTGCTATTACTGGTAAAGTTTTGTGTACTGCCCTGAATGGCCGCGTTGTCCGACTGCTGGTCAAAGAGTCTGACATCGGATCCGCCACTAATGATCAGATTACCGACGCTGAACATGAAGCCGGTGCCGGCGAACTCATTATAGGAGCCCTCGCCCTGGCGTTTGATCAGGTCTTTGATGTCGGAATTGAGACACAGGTTGTTTTCCTCGTCCTCTCCATCCTTGCAGTCCTTCACGCCATCGCATATCTTCTCAAAGCTAATACATTGGGGCCTAAATCCGGACGATTTGCACGAATACAGGGCTTTACCGCAACCGATCAACTCGTTGGCGGCCACAGCGACGTCGATAGCGTCGGGTCGGGTGCCGTTCAACGGCGCGCATGATATGTACCCAATGGTTAGGGTTATAATTAGCGACTTGAACAACATGTTGATTGTTTTTTGCAGTTTGAGTTTAACGCTGTTTAAAGTTTAGTTAGCGATTATGTTATATACTGAGTTCCGATGGTAGTAATCAGGCACTTTTTCTACACTGTACAATCCGATGTTTTTAATTGCTTTAAACTTAGCTTAAGCCAATTTATGATTGGTTTGTCTAAATTTTTGTGTACCGATTGCACCGTTTATGTTGACATATGGCATAAATCTCATCCGTGTGTTCACTGGAAATACTGTTAATTTTTTGCACTTTTATTAAATAATTTTGTTGTCATCTGATGTCAAATGCAATCCAAACTTAGAGTAAATACTTTCCGATAAGTTGTGTAATTGTCTCATAAAAAGATGTGAAGTCTTTCTTTGTTCTCATGTATTATGTCTTATGTTCTCAGAAGTGATAAACAAATCGTTATCTTATTATATGATCCAACTTTCCTTATGCTCTCTCTCTCTCTCTCTCTCTCTCTCTCTCTCTAAGATTGACAAAAATAAAAATATTTTGCACTAAATTTTAGATAATTTTTATTGTAGTAAACAATTTATCACTAATATCTAAAAATATGGATTAACTTGTTTTAAGTTAAATGAGATTATCATTTATTTTTAAAAAAATTATTATTTAATATTGAAAATTTTCCATTGCGTGTATTATTCAAACACAGTATTAATTAACTATAATTATAATACAAAATAAAACATAATTTGTTGCATAATAATCAATAAAAATACTTTATTTTTTAAGTAAAATAAATTTACAAACAACATTTAATTACAAGTAATTAATAAACATTTAAATCACAACAAACATTAATTAATTAGTTAAAAATGTACCATCTTTATTAATTAAAAGCAATACAGTCTACATGTTTTGCTGTGACTTTTGAGCAGCTAGATTATCGGAAAACTGGTTGAATAGTTTAGCCTGGGATTGTTTAACCAACAGATTTCTGATACCAAACATAAAGCCGGTGCCGGCGAACGTGTTCTGGTGCTTAGCCCGGGGTCGGGGAACATAGCCGGGGAAACACACCCTCTTGTCCTCGTCATCCCTGTGCGGACAGTCCTGTTTGCCGTCACAAATCTGATCCAAACCAACGCATAGGCCAATCGTGCCTTTGCACGAGTACTTACCGGCCGGACACCTGTAGGCGTGACTCTCGGTAGTGGTTTGCGGGTTCTCAGTGGTCACCGATGGGTCGTCGGTCAAACCGGTGCCGGTCACGGGTTCGTATGTGGGATACGTGGGATAGGTTCGGGTCCATTGATGCCAATCATAGGTGGTTGAGGCTACAGGTGCTTGAGTGACATTGCCAGTGACCACGGGTCCGGAGGTCGGGTAGGTTCTTGTATATTGATGCCAGTCAAATGTGGTCGACGCTACCGGCGCTGTAGTGGCGTTAACGGGTGTGTCAACCGGAGCGTCACGTTTTACCCGAAATAAATCTAAATAGTCGTTCACTTCGCGAGTGTTGCGAAAGATGACCGAAGAATCAGTTCCAGTGGTGAACCAAATGGCAGCCAAACAGACAATTACTTTTACGCCAAACATACTTCGCGTGTATGTGTTATGCCTTTTCCTATGAGCTCTGGTGAAGAGTTTTGCAATCAAAGCCAAAGTCAATGTGTTTTATTCGCAATTAAACGCCAATAAAAGTGTCATTTGTTTTATGATTGTTTGCGAATCGCAATACGTTTTCACTTGTATTGAATGTTTCCATACAATTGGCGTAATTAGTTATCTTTATCTTATTTTCCCCCTTTTTCACTCTCCCCAACACATGGTATTATTAATATACGTAATGTTAGCCTTAAACTTACCCCGAACGAATGTCATGTGAAATTCACCATCAGTTAATTTTTGTACTAATCTGATAATAACATATATTTTTTGTGTTAAATTTTAAGATATATTTTATGCCGACAGCCATATGGCATAACTTAATTAGGTAAAATTGTGATTCATGGCATTACTTAAGCATAAGTTCATTATTATGTAACCACCATGGTCATAATTTTTGTCACAAGTAACAAAAATCTCATGGAAATTTTAGGACAAACTTTCTAATAGGTTGATACATAATATACTGTAGAATTGGGAATAATATTTTTGATTTTAAAACAAATTAAGTACACTAGGTTTTTTAAACTCAATGTACTTTATTGCAAATTTTAACAAGATACATCACTTTACACGAGTACATTTTTAACTACTTGTATAAGACAATGGGAAGTTGCATAAGGTATTTACAGATTAAATGTACAAAGATTAAACTCGTGTGAGGCTTAAAGCAATAAGTTTTGTTTTTTATAATGATCAAATTTTATTTTTAAGTAAATAGAGTATTAACTTAAAGAGAGTTATTAAAAATATTTGTTTGTTTTTCAATATCAATAATATTTGTTTATATTAAATGTTTAAGACATTATTATAGTGTTGTTTGTCTATTGTTTTATTCATTAAAAACGATTTATTTATGTTTAAATGCAGATTAAGAAAATACAATAACAAAAATCACCACATTATTACACAGTACTATTTACTTTAACATTATCGGAGCTTTGGTCAAACATTTTGACATCAGAGTTATAGATAACTAGATTATCGACATGAAACATAAACCCCTGCCCTTCAAAACTGTCTGTATTGCCATTATCTTTGCCATTGTCCACCTCCTGGTGCTCCCCATCCACTGCCTGTAGTTTATTATCGACACCAGAATATTCTGTTTGCTTATATTTGGGCCAATTCTTACATATAGTCCAGTCCTCGTCATCCCTGTTCGGACAGTCGACCCGTTTGTCGCATACATTCTCCAGTCGTACGCATAGGTCTAGCGTACCGTTGCATAAGTATCGGCCTATTAAACAAAATGCATATATAACTAGTAAACAATGAAACAAAATTACATCATATTTCACGCCATACCGGCCGGACATCCGTTGTTAATCCAGAAGCGGTTCTCTTCCTCGACCTTCTCGATGGTCTTCAGGGTATCATTAGATATGTATCGGTTTAGATAGGAGTCAGCCTCGGCTCTGGCGTATTGGTTACCCGGATTATAATTGTCGTATTTGTTGCTCAACTCATTGGCTAACTGTGTTTCCTTACAATAGGTGGACAGTTCGTCGTCGCCATCGGGACAGTCCTGTCGTCCGTTGCAAACCCAGTCCAAGTCAATGCATTTGTCGCTCTTTAGGCACCGGTAGGCGCCAACCGGACAGTCGTGATGGTCCTCCTCTACAGCTAGTGATAAGCCGGTGAAGAGTAGTGTTTGACAAATAAACACAAATGTTTTCATTGTTTGGCAGTGAATAAAAACAATGTCAACAAATTTTAAGCAAAATTACGACAAATAATATATTTATTATTTGAAGAAATTATTTTCTTTTGAAGACTCGAAGAGCTATTACTTGTGATTATGTTTTTGCAAATAGCATTTACAGATGCATTGCTTCCCATATTTAACATGTAATCCAACTTTTATTACGATATTATCATTAATTGCTCATAAATTTTAATTTACAGACATTTGTTGTAATGAATTAAATCTCATTTATAATAATAAATTTCTCCAAATGTAATAATATGGGTTTATATTTAATCAAGTTAAATCAAGGTATTTATTAAGCATTAACTTTTAATTAAAAGTTTAGTAAAGTATAAATTAGAGTAAAAATTATTATTATTAAATTAAATCTTACTAAAGTTTTACTTTTGTTTTACAATTATATAATAACATAACAACTTTTTATTTACATTCAACAAATCTTTTGTTTAAATGTTTGTCTAATTTTATATTTATTTGACTATTAGCTAAAAATATATACAGAAAACAATATAATAAATATAATCGTGGGAAAATTATACACTAAATGATGCAAATATTTAATGCATCAGATTATAAAAGTGAAGATAAATAGTGACAATAAAATAAATTTTTATATTTAACGTTAAGTCAGACCACACTTCACAACAAATATGATTATAAATAAGTTTATTATTTCAATATAAGTGGCGTTTAATTAGAAATATTGATTATTTACTACTTCAGACAATCCCATTGCATACCTATCGCTCATTAAAGCTAATATAGTATTATAAATAATGTGAATTTCATATTACGTTAATTACATGACGGTGGTATGTTGTTTATTGTCTACAAAATGAGAAATATTTATTTACAACTATGTCATATATTTTAATTTTTGGCTAAATGGGACTCTTTTATTGCAAATTGAATTCATAAATCTATATTTAATTTGCACTTAAAGTACAGAATTATGAAATTATAAATTTCCAGTTAATTTGCCAATTATTGGACTGTAAATCACAGACATATCTAATAAAACGACAGCATTTATTAATAACTTATTTTATTATAAAGTAATAATTTAACTTTTAATTTTATTATACAGTATATTTACAACAAATAATAAATAGATGGTGTTATATCAATTCATTATTAGTTTTATAATCAATTTTAATTAGATTTACATCATTGGCGAGTGTTTTATGTCTATCGATATAAGGTATGAAATGCATTAATTTCTGTGTTTTATATTCAATGCAAAATGTTTTGCAAAATGTTTGCCGATATTTACGGCTTAAAAGGCAATACAAAACGAAATTTCCGGCCGAATTCAAAGCGACCAAAAAGTTGAATATATTGCCTAAGCCTCGGATAAGAGACTGGCGGCTCAGCTCTTGACCGCTCTCGTCGTCGATCGCCGTATATATGAGTACACAAGCGGTCGGTGTCTGACAGATGAGGAACAGTATAATCACTGCTATCAACATAATTGTGATGTGAGATTCCTGTCGACGACTTTCCGTTTTTGAAACTATTGTATAATAAATAATTTTAATTCATTAATTAAAATAAGTTAAGTAAAAAATAGGTATGAATAAAATTAAACTATTAAATTGTAGATAGATTTTTATCAATAATAAAGAGATATTTAGTTTAATCTAAACTCACTTTTACGCGAAACACCAAACTTGACATTTTTAGGCGGTGTCTTAATGAGCGTCCGGCGCCGGACACTCGAGCCCCGCACCGATCGTATGAGAAATATGTTAAATACGGCCAAAATGAGCAAGGGCAAAAATATAAACAAAACCACTGTCATATAATAGTAGATCTTCTTATATATAACACTCAGACCCAACTCAGAGGGAATCACTTGTATGTGAGTTTGGTTATCGTATTGGTTCGGCAGCTCCTGTAGTCTCCATTCAAAAAGCGTGGGAACGGTTGTCAATATGCAGATCAATGAGATAATGATGATTAGTTTACGGGCCCGGGAAGGGGTGCACAACACTTTGCCACGGATTGGGTGACACACCACAAAATATCTGTGAAAAACACATGATAAATTAGTTTTATTTGTTTATTGTTGTGATTTAGTTATTAATTGTCTCTTATATTGCCTGTAAATAGAAATTTATTGTTTTTTATATTTTTAAAAATATTTCTCTTTATTTTATTATTATTTTGCAATTATTTTGATGTGAATTAATTACATGGTATTTATTTCTGTCTGTTTTATAACTCATTCGTAATCTTATTATTAATTTCAACTGTTTTTTATTGTAAAATGAAATAATTTGTTGTGTTTTATAAATCATTGCACTTTATAAATAATGTGAGGGTTGTTTTATTATGTTTTGTTTTGTCACATAACTTATGTGAATATTTATTGAATTTGCCTTACAATTAAACCAAACATTTGTTTCGAGTAACTAATTTGTATTTTCTGTTTAAAAAAATTATTTTGTTGTTTGTTATTAATTATTATAGTTAAATTAAATGATGTAAAATTGCTTCATAATTTATAAATTTTTAAACTTTATGAAACAACTTTTAATTACTTTTAGAAATAATTTTGTTAGAAAATTTTAAAGCCAATTATAGTGTTTTAATTGTGACACTAATTGTCATAATTAAATAATATTTTTAAAAAGTAATTAGAAATATCAGTTAATAGCACATTATAAATGTTAAGATTATATTTATAAATGGAAATACGATATACAAATGTAGTAACAAATAGTCTACAATTTAAAACTTAACCAAAAATAAATAATCAAATGCTAATTAAAATCTTATATTTACACATAAGGCAACACTAATCAACTAAATCCCAGCTAAATATAAATCATATTTAATCCCATAATTAATAATAAATTACAATATATGAACGCAAATAGGCTTTTGATGTTACAAAAAAATGAGAGGCGTTTCAATGCATTCAATAGAAAATATAATCTAAAATCAAATAAATTAATTTCTACTCAAAATCTATCAAAATATAAGTTGATATATAAATGGATAGCAATTGTGAGCCAAAACATAACTTATTTCTATGTTTTGTAATTTTTTGTATGAATTGAATCTCTAATCAAATGCTAATTCCTGCGGGCATTTAATTATCCATTCAATCACTATTAATAAAATGCTTTTGATTATTAAACACATATTTATCACGAGTGTTAATGCAAAACTTAATTTAAATTCATTATGAATTGAATATAAAAACACCTTTATTATTATTAAATCAAATTAAAAGTAAATAT